TTCACAATTCTCCTTTACAGAAACTTTGGATAAAATTCAAATTCAAATAAGTAAAAAAGTAAAGGTATCCCTGTAACAGACCGTGGAGGCCAATAGGGTTGTGAGATGTTGAGGTTCCCACAATTTCTAGACATTTTGCCCATAGATGGCGGCAAGGTGGTCAGCCTTACACGTCAGCCGCCCTTTACTCCCAAGAATATTCCTGGTACTCATTTCTGTTAGAGGCTGAGTCGACCACAGGGCCATAGTGCAGCTGGAAGGATTAGGTCAATTGAAAAAAAATCCAATGACATCACTGGGACTTGAACCCGTGACTTTTCGGATCGTTAATTGGTTTATTTAACAACCTACAAGTCGTAACTACAAATACTTATAACACTGTTACGGGTTTACACATCTTACAAACCCTGCACAATAATCTCTTCATATTATCTTCAATAGTCTTCACTTATTCACAGTACAACACGGGAGCTATAAAAGTGTCACCGAATTATACACTCCCAATACCTTCTCACACTATCAACTCTAATCACACTTTCCGGTCTTCTTCCCACGACTGCTATACTTCAACTGTCTTCTATCTGGCTTAACAATCCACACTCGCTACAACTGAACTTGGCGACTGCTATACTTCAACTGATTTCAGCGGCTGCTACATTTTAACTAACTCCTTACGCATTTCAGTCTCCCTTATAAACCCTCAGTCGGACAGTGGAATACCCACATCACTTCACTGTTGCATAAACACTGTGTTTACAGGCGTTGCTGGGCAACGCTGCAGTTGTTTATTGCTGCATAACCAACGCACTTCGGCTCTGCTGGGCACGGCATGGAGAAACACCGCTTTCCTTACTGTTGCATAACTTGATTTCCACTGTTGCGTAACTTGGCAACCGACCGTATATCAAGGGTCTGTCTTCGCATAAACACTGTGTTTACAGGCGTTGCTGGGCAACGCTGCAGTTGTTTATTGCTGCATAACCAACGCACTTCGGCTCTGCTGGGCACGGCATGGAGAAACACCGCTTTCTTTACTGTTGCATAACCTCATTTCCATTGTTGCGTAACTTGGCAACCGACCGTATATCAAGGGTCTGTCTTCGTGGTAACTTGTTCCACCTCTCGTTGCCCAGCAACGGTTAGACAAGTCACAATATATAGGAAAAGAGGCCAAGTTAAAGTGCAAGTAGTACACTCAAAAAGCATACACGTCTTGTTTCCTCCAACAATCTCTCCCTTCAAATTTGTTGCCAGTCGGCTATGACCTCACTGATATTTTGGGGCACATACATCTTCATGGCCAAAAAGCAAGTAACTCAAGGGGGGGACTAAAAAAGTGCAGTGTAGGGTGCAGACTGGATTCAACTGGCTGAATATATGATCCAATGGTGAGCTCTCTGGAATATTCAGCCTCCATAAAAGCAGGAAATCTCTTGACCAGTTCGACAACTATCAGATTCTAAAAACACACCCTGCATCATGCAGCAAATTTTGATTGTCAGTCATTCCGTCTATACTAACCTCTGTTCTGCTCTGCTGCTGGTTGTCCCATCTCTTCTGTTGCCTCGTTTTCTTGCTGACAACTAGAAAGCAGAGGATCAAAAACTTCTAACACGCTGCCCCGTGCTGAAGCCTGTGTTCCCTCTGTTCCAAGACTGTCGAAGGGAGTGAGGTCTATCAAATTATTATTATTACGTTTCCCTACAACTTTTAGGACATCTAAATCTGGCCTGGCATCTGTGTGATTTGCAACCTGCTCTGCAGATTGCAGTGCTGGTCTGCCAGAAAAAACAGGACTGTAAACTAGGGTTGTAGAATCCTTCACAACATTGACAGGAACAAGTGAGGGTTTCACAAAATGATGTGTCAAGGAGGAGGATCTTGCAGTTGTACGTTCATGAATTTCTTCCACGAACTGAGGCACAGATACTGCAAACTGCGTCTGAGATGAGAATGGGCTGGAAGATGTTTCAGTATTAAGGGTAGCTGTTATACAGCTGCTAGTCGTATACAATTCACCTAATCCCGGACATGGAGGGCTTCGGCTGGTTGGTGAACTTTCTGGACTGCCAAATGTAATAAGATCAGCAGCGGCACTGTTTCGGCGCTGTACTGAGGGAGGTGGTGCTAAGATTCTCGAGGCTCGCGGTCCTCCTGTATTAAATGATCCCGGACGAGGCCTGGCCTTCAGGGATGACAGTTTTTCTACTCCATCACTTCCTGCTCGCTTCTGCTGAACTGCACTAGAAGAAGCTACTTCAACAGAATAAAACTTCCATTACCATACAGATATCATGAAGTTAAAAGAGAATAAAGATTACTAAAAAGTACAGAGTGATTGAAAAGTTGCAAAGCACACACTATCACCAAATACTTCTTATTTGCGTACTGAGCAACAGTTTCTCAGGGCCATGCCATAGCTTAAGCGGTTAGTCGTGGGCTTCCCACCACAGTGGTCTGGGTTCGATCTCGGGTCTGGTCAAGTGGGATTTGTGGTGGACAAAGTGGCGATGGGGCAGGTTTTCTCCAAGTACTTCTGTTTCCCCTGCCAATCTTCATTCCACCAATTGCTCCACAATCACCCTCATCTATCATGTGAGGCTGGTACAACAGGCCAGAAGTGGCTGCAGTACAAGGGACTTAGTCCCACCCCATTAGCAATAAGAAAAACAGTTTCTCAGCTACACATCTTTTTTTTTCACCTTTGGCAATACAGCCCCAATTTGGGCCTTAGAATACCTCCACAAAACTTTCTGTTTCACTTCATTTTACTAGATCTTAGACATTCAGTAGAACTCCTTGGGCGGGTGATCAGCTCATCCTAAGGCCTGTAACTGTACACAAACAGAAAAACACACGCGCGCGCACATACACAAACACTGAACATCCATGCTGTGAGTGGGATTCGAACCCACAATCCCAGCTTCCAAGTGAGCAAAGACAGCACATGCCTTAGACAGCTCGGCTACCATGACTGGCTAGCTGCACATCTTACACTGTATGAAATATTAAGATGAAAGCGAATGATGAACTGGGATGATTCTGAAGCGAGCAAATGTGGCTTATTTTAAAGACACTATCCCAGCATTAGCTTGGTCAGACAAAGGAACACAACATAAAACTCAATCAGGATATCTAACCTCTAAGCTTAGAACTGAACCTGGGACCTCCTGCATACAAAGCAGGAGTGCTAATCATTACACTATGACATTCGATTGACCCACCTCTCTCAGAAAAAAAGAGAACTTTTTACATAAGCAATACATTAGGCAACAATGGTATATTCAAACATGCTGTACTGGGCATGTGATCTTAAGCCTCCCACTATATGTATTAATTGAGAGTAAACTGTGTAACAACATATAACAGTTGTTCACAACAATAACATGTGCTCACTGTTGAATCAATTTAACAAAGAATGGAAGTATGTAAATAAGTCATACTTTCAGATCATGTGGTTCTGAATAAACTGATAAAATTTCATTTATCAATTTTACGGGATACAAACACAAGAACTGACTTGGGGTAAAGCTGTGCCACAAAAGAGGCCACATTCACCATTAAAAAAAAAAAAAAAAAGAAGATAAAGTTGTCTCTGTGCTTAACTAATTAACCACTATGCCATGAAGGCGTATGAAGGAGTGAATGTATAGATCCACGTTTTCTTGACCTCAACACTAGCTGGAGGTTAGTGGTCAGCTTCACGCTCCTGCTGCTTTACCCCCAGGGAAAGAGCCCCGGTATCCATTGGATAGGATGCTGGGTGGGCCCGAAGCTGGTCTGGATATGGAGAAGAGAAATTTTGCCAATACCAGGACTCGAACTCCGACCCCTTGGTCGTCCAGCCTGTAGGCAGTTGCTATACCGACTGTGCTGCCCTGGCCCATTTATTGGAATATGACACAATAAGTAAAAAGAAAGTAAAAGTTAACAAAAAATTGTTACATCTCTCATGGGTGGTAGGACACCCTTATCACCCTGTATATTACATATACCTTCACCCCTCCTTGAAAAATGAATATGTAAGTAAAAAACTAAAATAACTTTCCATATTTACATCTATACTCTTAAGACATTGCACATACCATTGCAGGAACTTGATATGAACTGGAACTGCTCCTGCAGCTGTTTTTGGAGACGAAATTTCTCCAGAGCCAAACTTTCCAGACTAAGTGCTTGGGCCCTTTCCAGATCTTCCTGGTACTGACGTTCATAATCAGGAGACGTTTTGTCAGCACTGCCACCTGCTCCAGCCATTGCTCTCAAGACTACAATTTGAAAGTGCACGAATTTCTCATTATTGTGCCTATATGTTGTGGGCAGCAGATAAAATATATTTCAATTATCACTCTTTGATCTGAAGAGATACACTGCAGTCAACAGTAGTGAGGAAAGACATGTTTTTCCCTACTTGCCTCGGTTAGAAACTCACACGATGTTTCTAATTTTGAAGTCCCAAGAAGACTAGTCTCAGTGACGAAACACAGTGCAAGGGATACTGAACCTTCAGGTTTTACTGTCAAGACAGTTAAATACAATAAGCAAATGTGACTGATATATGAAGGACTTTTAAAACTGTTACTTCCATTTTGATATCTGTGGCAATAAAGATCATGCATGGCCAAACACATAATAGCCCAAAACATGTTATTCAAGGCTTATATTCCAGACAATGCTATTCAGATGTAAACATTAGTTGTGCTTTCTGTGAGGTGAAAGAGATTCTATCTTTACATTGTGATACATATCTTAACTACTTCAACAGTATACGACCTTTCTTCATATGGTCAATTTATGGAGTCCAAAGATTCATCAATATATTCATAGAAGCCCAACACAGGACCCTATCTGAATTATACGAATCCCATCACATTGTCATAAACTATTTCTTACTACTAGTTAATGACTAAATCCCCTACAATTCAAAATTCACATCTACTGACTTCCTGTAAAGAATGAAAATAACATGTCTTGTTAAGTTAATGGCCTTGCAGCAAGTGCAGGGTTACACAGCTCTTTCCCCAGAGGTAAAGCAGTCATGGTGTGAATCTGACCATTCACCTCTATCTAATGCCAAGGTTAAGAATGCATGAAGCTATATTTCCACTCTGCCATTGTCTCCATGTCATGTAGCTTAAACACAGGACAACTTTACCTTTACCGCTTTACTCTAACAATAGCATGCTTGAATCGCAGTGGAAATGTCTGTCGTTAAAGTCAGTGACAAAGTAAATTCATTGTTGGCCAGAAGACTTCATATTTGGTACACAAAGGTTAAAGTTTTGTATTAGTGTTTGTTTGAAAGTTGCCATGACCTGGACCAAAGTCTCTTGCCTTGGTCAAAAATTATAGCAAGCTTTCTTGCCAACAAGGAAGTAACTTATCTCCCTTATGAAAATATGTTCTATTTAGTGCCATGTGGTACAACATGCCCTTACATACTACATCTAAATGTCACTTCAAGCAGAATAAAAACCTGGTAATGTGAAAGGGGAACATATAATTGTGTACCTTCCCAAACGAGAACAAATCCTCTCTCTATCAGAAACCATCACAGTTCAAATAAGTTCTCCTGTATGCGTGTTAAGAGAGTTAAGAATTACAGTTAAAGTATCTACAACAAACGTGAATGGATCCGAACTGGTCTAGAATCTACACACTGACAAGTTAACTCCTGAGATGAGAATTGCAACAGTCCAAATCTGACAAAAATACTTTGCATACATGGCTACCTAATTTTTCTGCTTACGTCAATCCACTAAAAAAAAACTAAATATTATGCAGATAAGACCATGATAAAAGTCAAGACCAAGCAAGTGAAATAACCTTGGCCAATGACAGTCATATTCTTCATCCTGTTGTCTTCCAATTTATGAATAAACATGGGAATAATTCTTATGAAATCAGTAATAATTACTGTTCAAGAAAACTGTAATGAAATCTGTCGCCTGTATTAATCATTATATGTACTTGGTCTCACTAAAATCTGAATAGTTAAGAAGCTACATACAAAAACATATGGCAGAATTCTCACTGAAATACTGTTATTCAGAAATTGCTTCCCCTATCAATGATAAAACTGAATCGGCACTTACAGTTCATGTTACACTCAATATCATGTGCACAGGCACTAAAATCGACACATGGAGCTATAAATTTTATTTCTGAGTAAACATAAGGCATTTGACTCTATAACGCATAATAGTAAAAGAACTTTATACAAGAAAAACATGTCATCGAAAATCCAAGCTGATTAATTAATTTCTTACAAACCGAGAAACGCGTTATCATCTCCCTTAAATACACTGCATCGTCTCTAACCTACACATGACATTCATATTTATGTAAACGGAATTAAGAATATTATCCACGAACCTTCCACCAACTTCGCAAGAACATGTAAATAATCATGTTAATTAATACAGTCATTCTAAATACCATAACCAAATTCGATTATACTTCTTACAAAATTTACAGCTTGTCACGAAAATCTAGCGCACATTTCGTTTCCCATGTCCACATATCTTTGCTAGGTATTAGTTAACGTTGAGACGTTGAATACGTTTTCTTTTTCTTTGTGGTTGCTTGTCCACAATCCATTACTTATACATCACTGACATCACTGATCACTAGTTAGCATTTATGGATGCACAACACGAACGAAAGAAAAATAACTCATCGAAGTCCTCGAACTTCCCGAATGTTTTCTTCTTCTTCTTCTTTACTCTTCGCGCTTTACGCTGTTCGGTGATTCGTCCACAATCGTCCACAATGGACGAAACGTTCGAGTTCGGCAAAGTTCGGTAATGTTCGAAAACGTTGTGAATGCCGAGAAGCGTATTGTTGATTATCATGGAAGTCCTGTACAGGATTTATACGTTTCATCTCATGTTTTTGCAGTTCAGACCTGAAGAATAATAGTGAATCCATTCCTTTTCATGGTTCCTGATGCCATGCATTACCAAGCAATTGACCGATATCTTCCCACGCATTCATCTTTGAATGTACTTTATGTAGGAATTTGTAGGATCGCGTGAACATTTTATTTTTCCGTATTCTGACATCAAAATTTCTACAGTATCGTTTGACACTCCAAGATAAAAGTGAACATCAATTGGTAAGAGACCAAACGAAAAGAAATTAATGACGATGAACGGCAACTATTTTGAATTGCCTGTCCACATCACACATGAGGCTTGTTTGATGTACCAATTTACAGTGAGGCAAACCGAAGGAAAATGAACAATTCCTTTGCCTTTGTGGACACCATACAGATTAACTAAATTTGGGAGTCCCACCCTTCCCTCGTTTTCTTTCTTCTTCCCATAGTGTATGCCTACCCCAGATCACTGAATACATACCTTATTAAATGCACTCCCATGGTTTGCAACTGCCATCAGTCTGTAAGCACTCAAATTAACACCATTAATGACGTTAGGTCCGGTTAAATGAATTCCTGCTTTACGTCAAGGCCATAGCCTAACACTATCATACCACTTCTAATTTGTTTATAATTACGTACCATGAAGGTATAAGCATATATCTCATCATGTAGTACTTCATTACTAGTTTTTACATTTATGAAGAAACAACATAATATGCTAGAATGTATATCACACTTGCTTGACTGCAAGCACCTAATTCCTTAAGAAGCTGACAGTCACCCAGCTATTCAAGATTGCCCCCACCTTATGTGGGAATCAGTTATTACCATGTTAACAAAAGCCATCACTAGACCCTATTCTGTGCCAGATTAATTCAGTCAACTCTTCCACACTATAAAATCCACCAAACTGCAAGGTATTACTTCCCAGAAGACAATAACAGTAAGTCACTGCCATAAGAATGTCACAGCTCACATTTTAATATTATCCTCAATCAATAAATAGTCTTTCAAGAGCTTCTTCAGCTTTTCTGACCAAAATTGCGTATTCACTTCTAATCTCTCCCACATATGCTACATGCCCTGACCATCTCAACTTTCATTTTATCATCCTAATAATATCTGAAGGGTTCAAATCATGAAGCTCTAAATTACAGATTTTTCTCAAATCTCATATCACTTCCTCCCTCTTAGGTCCAAATATTCTAACACCCCCAGCTCTTGTAGAGAGCTATTTAAGAGATTACAGATCTTACCTCTTCCATGTGAATATATATTTTCATTATTAAGCTTCATTATAAATAACCGAGAACGTTTTCAGACCAATTTGGATGTACACAGTGTTAACACAAGAAACAAGCACCATCTCCATAGACCGGTTGCTAACCTGACATGTTTTCAGAAAAGCTCATATTATTCTGGCATTACAATTGTCAACAATCTATCTAGTCTCAAAGTCCAATGAATGAAAAGGTACAATTTAAATCAGCACTGAAACGATACTTAAATACACTCATTCTACTCTGTTGATGAATTCATACTGTCTAAAAATGACTCGTCCTTTTAAAAAGTTATGGACATGGCATAAGTTGACAGTACTGACTTATATATGTGGATGTATTTTTTTTTTGTCCCAGTTGTACTGTACTTATGGCTTTTGTATTTGTATGACTTGTTCCACATCCTACAGTCATTCTGACTTACTTTGGATCTACAGAATGTAATGTATGTATGTATGAAAGTATGTACAATCCTACTTTCATGTGAGATATTTAATATATTTGTATTCACGCCAACCCATAAAATGTTTACATTTCAATCTTTATGTTTTAATTAACACAGGGTAAAACACTGTGAACCTAATGGAAGGTAGTACATTGCCACAATCTCATTTGCTCTGAATTTATGAATGCAATTTGTCTATTTACATCATCATTCCAAAATGTATGATCTTGGCCACATTTAAGGATTTATCAGCTATCTTTATATCACAAGGGGCACACAGTAGCATAGCTGGTTGAGGCACTATGCTACAAGCTGGAAGGTCACGGGTTCAAGTCCTGATAAGGTCATTAGATTTTTTTCAATTGACCTAATCCTTCCAGCCACAGTATGGCCCTGGGGTCAACTCAGCCTCTAACAGAAACGAGTACCAGGAATATTCTAGGGGGTAAAGGGTGGCTGGCACATAGGCCTGACAACCTTGCCACCATCTATAAGCCTATTATCTAAAAAAGGGTGGGAACCTCAACATCTCAGAACCCTACGGGCCTCCACAGCCTGTTACAGGAATACCTTTACTTACTTACTTTACTTTTATCTTTATATTACAATTCTGCACTGTATTCTGGTAAAGATATACACTCAGTTTTCTCCCAGACAAACCTCCTGACTACAGTGCTTCTTTGTATTTCTCATGGTATTTATGTTCTTGCTGGGTAAATTAATGTCAGCATAGCTGAAGTTGACTATCTTTTATCCTTTATTTGCCTGGACCTTCCAAATGGTATCAGGGAGTCTTGTTTCAGACCATTCTGAATGGGGAAATGCATTAGACAGATTGTTACATAAGTGTACTATGTTCATCAAGACCAATTTTTGGGAAACTGGGTTTGAAGTTCAGGAACTGATTGCAGTTTAGATATGACTTAGGGCAAAACACACTCTGAAATCTCACACTTGCAAGTAAGGTAAACCTATGAGTATATATGTGACGATAATGCAACATAATGTGGAGAAACAGAAAAATACATCTCATTTTCACCAAAAAGTGACAACACAACACTGCAACACTCAGGCAACAAAATGTTTACCTATACTTATAGATGACATTACAAGAATGTGAAGGTGTACAGTTCTAAGCTCTGTTTCCAAATGAATGCTTAACTGGTATTCATTTTGTAAAGGTAAAGTTGTCCTTATGCTTAACTAATTAAGCCATGAAGGCATATGGAGGAGTGGATGTATAGATCCACATTTTCTTGACCTCAGCACTAGATGGAGGTGAGTGGTCAGCTCCCCACCCAGGTACCCATCAGATATGAGCCTGCGTGGGCTCCAGGGTTTGTCTGGACGAGAAAATTCTTGACCCTACTGAGACTCAGAACTTCCAGCCCATAGCTAGTCACTATACAAACTATGCTATTCCGGCTCTAGTACTGCCTCCAGATATGATCTATACTCTTCTGGCCTCTGACCACCTAGGCAAATGTGCAGAATTCTTCTCTTTGGTAGAGATATTAGTACAACCAGTAGGCAAGTAAATACAGTTCACTATATTATATTTAAGCATCCTGTTGCACTCTACACGATAAATGATACAAACTCCGTCCTAAGTGCAAACAATATATATTTATATGTCTTTGATCTTGTTCTTTCTACACTACATGTTTCGGCCTCTATCGGCCATCATCAGGTGTATACTCTTAACGTTGCTGCCACACTGAACCCAGTCTAAAACTTAACATTTAAAAACACAATGTCACATTCTTCGTATTATCAACATCTACATCGTTGATATGTGTCTGGTTCACATTCTTACAGAAATAGTAAAATGTAAGAGATAGCATTTACTATCTTCGCATCGATCTAAAAATTCTTTCACCAACATTATATCAAATTACTGATAAAAAATTAAAGCTAGCCCTGTAATAGGTTGTGGAGGCCCCTAGGGTTGTGAGAGATTGAGGCAGCCACATTTTCTAGACAGTCAGCTCACAGATGGCACTAAGGTTTTCAGCCTTATGCGCTGGCTGCACTTTACCCCCCAGGAATATTCCTGGTACTCATTTCTGTTAGAGGCTGAGTCGACCCCAGGGCCAGAGTGCAGCTGGAATGAAAAATCCAGTGACCTAATCGGAAATTGAACCCACGACCTATTGGCTTGTAACAAGCGCCTCAACCAACTACGCTACTGCATGCCCCATCAAATTACTGACACTAATAAAAATCCTATGAAAAATATCAGTATTTATGAAAGGACTGATGACAAACTGCATTGTCTACACTGGATTGTATGAAAGGAAGCAGTTTCAATACAACTTCATGTGTCTGTAAAACGCTACAGTGGAACATCAGGTTATGTGACCACAAAACTAGCAAGACACATTTCTCCAACAATAGCTCTAAAAACAACTGTTCCGAAATACCTGTACAAGACAATCTGCCTAATAATCCAAATTGCAAGTGCAACCAAATTTCATTTTCAAGAACAGCCCACATTTTCCAGGGCAAAAAATAATGAATCCTATGAATACCCCATGCCAATGGGGCATTAATATTCATCTTAATACCTGAATGATGACAATTAATGGTTAAGTATGAGAAGTCAGTTTATAAAACGCAATAAAAGAAATAAAACTATTCCAGTCCAAATTGAGTCCAAAATAAATATTGAGTATTCATTGCGACACACCAACTGTGGAGGAAACACTGCATCCAGCAGTTCTTCTACTGTTGCGTGTTTATTTGCTGTTGCAGGAACATGTGTACTAAGCCACTGCCTAACTGCAGGGTGAAGGGACACATACACACACAGAGACAGGAAGATAATCTCTTTATTTTTTTTTTCAAAATAGGGAAATAGGATAAAAAACGGGTACCACAAACACTATTTAATAAATTGCTGGCAGACAAAAACAACACAAACATATCAATGTTCTGTAGTCAATGATGTTTATTGAAATCACTAGGAGAATGCAGAATATACAGTGATAAAATGTATGGTCAATGAAAGCTTTACACCTCCCAAACTGATTTCAGCATCTCTATGCTTCACAGTATACAGCAATATCTTAAGCATAAATTACTTTTGAATTTTAAGCATGTTCATCCACAATTACAAAAGAACCTACTGTCAACTATCTCTGTGACATGTAGTTGGTCACTCTGTCCAACAGTCATGCTAAGTCTCGATGAAATTTTGAAGTTGTCTCCTAAACTGTGTTAGTATTTTGTCATCAACAGATGACACTGACTTATGGTTTTCTTTAACAAGACTAACAGCAAGGAGTTGCAACCATTTAAATGCAGCTGCAAGGACAGGCAAGGTGCCATTTAAAAAAGTCTTCAAGAGGTTAATCAAATAGAACACAACACTATATATCAATGTTTACAGAGTACTCTATGGCAAGAAAGTGTACACTTACAGCATGTACCACATTTTATACATTTGCAGTTTTGGTCATCATGTAGATAATACAAAAGTAGAAAAAGAAATATCACAACATAAAGGACAAATACTTATTTAAGACTGGCAATCAATGCTGTCTAGCTTAAAAGTTCATATCTTATCTTCCACGACAGGATCTTTCCTGTATGCTAAAGCCAATGTGTCCATCACATCAAATTTCTTTCCAAACAATATTCACAACTAATGCTACTAAAATAAATTGGTATATATTTAGTGAAGAAAACATATTTCTGAACCTGATTTAATTATTATCTCATTACAGTAAAACCTGTCTACAACAGGATTAAAAAGAAATGAACCTTTATCAGAAAATTTCCCTGGCCCCGATACAGAGTAAAATCTACAGCAAAATTATCTCTACAAAATAATCAAACTGTTTAGCATGAAAATGGAAAGAATGAAATAAGAATTTACCAGAAAATGGTCAGCTGAAATACTATCTTCATAGAGTGCATCCTGTTGCATATGTGCAAAATATTCTATTATGCTCGTTCCGTCTAACTCAACTCAAAGAACGTATAACATTCAATTTGTTTTATTAATATCACATGTTTCGACCATTTCAACTGGTCATCATCAGGTGAATACAACTGTTTAACAAATGCTCTTTTGAATTGCAAACCATCTTACTTCTTATATGGGCCCATATTTAAAATGATTTCTGGTGGATGACAATATTGGCATTTGTCAATACTGCATATTAAAATACTAAAATATGGTAGATCAATATGAATTTAACAATTCCGGAGTGAAACTTTGCTAGGTCATATCTGGCTCAAGCAAGAATCCAATTCTATATTCGCAGTTGTTGGGTGTTGAGTTGCAAATATGGCAATGTATGATGATGATGATGATGATGGGTGTTTTTCTTTAGCCTGACTAGGCTGTAGATTTCACTCTTACACTGTGTAGCCCAGAGTGGGCTACATTACCTAACCACATAGTTATGACATATAACAGGATGCACACTATAAAAATAGAAAAGAATTAAGCTAAATTATTAACAAAACATATGAAGAATATTTTCAAGTGTGATCTGAAAATGAAAATAAAGGAAGAAGTGGATAGCATTTCACATGATGTATAATAATCTGAATCATGAAGACCAGCACACAAGTTGGTGGATAATATTAAAATGGATCTTAATGGGGTGGTCTGGACTGGACTGATTAGACTCCAGATAGGGAGCAGTGAAGGGCTCTTGAGTACATGGTAATGAACCTTCAGGTTCCACAAAATGCAGGGAGTTCTTGAGTAGCTGCACAACTGGCAGCTTCTCAAAAAGAGTTCAGCTCCATGAAGTTGGCTAGGCAGAAGTTAATTATCTGAACCATAAATATGTGTACTCTGTATTATGCAACATACTACATGAAGAAAATCTAAACAGGAAGAAATTTAACGATGAAACCGTTAACTTGGGATCACTGACACTGAATTCCGCAGGAAAACCTTATATCAAGGAATGTTAAAAGTAGAGTTGTTTTCTAGAAGAACCTGTACAGGTCCTTCACAATTCCAGTACAAGCAGGTTTTACTGTACTTTATGGAAACATTTTTCACTGTGAATAAGTTACTACTCTTAATCCCCTCCCACCCCCTCTATCTGGAAGAAGTCACAGGGGTTGCAATTCTTATGTCAGTTCCTCACTTGTGCATAAAAAGCCACCTTCTCTTCACATATTCTTGAATTCCTCACCGGTGCTGTTTAGCATGAGGATGTTTGGATTCTCACGTTCAAAATCTGTCATCTCACGTTCTCGTTCGTCTTGACCCCATTCGCCTAAGGTCTTCATGACATCAGGTTGGTTACGCCGCCACTCTTCCTCCTTCTGCAAAGTGTCACCCACGTAGCTTGTAGCAAGAGCTACAAAAGCTACGATCTCCACAACACCAACTACTGCTACCATCACCAGCACTGCTCTGGGTATAAGACTAACCCATATAAATCACCATTCACAAGAGATTCTGTTCACTGTTATGATGCTCCATGGTAAAAACAAGAAAGTATAATATGCTGAACATTTATGTTATACATTATTTTACGACCTGTAAGTTACTTAAAAAATTCAAATTATAATCCCATTTAATTAACTCTGTACAAAATATATGGGCAACTTTAAGTGATAATTCTGTGGTATGAATGAATGAATGTACGAGGGGTTGACCATAATACTCCGGCCCTTGCACTGTGACCTTCAATGATCTATTGTGTTTCCCCTTTTTGATTAATGATTCTGTGTTTAATATTCATATGTAAGACACAGACTTCAAAGATAATGTTACTATACAACAGAACAACAGCATAAGAGACATAAATTTACAAGTTATTCTCAAATTTGTTTCTTCACAACTAAGATCCCTTAACCCTTAACATGGAAACAAGAAGGACCCCATAATAGCAATTTACTTTTTACCTAACACTAATAAAAATGTAATCCAGGACAGCTCAATCACTATATTGAGGGGCTACAGACTGGCTGGCAAGGGTAAAATTCCAGCATCGGCAAGAAATTTTTCTCTACTCCACACAGTCCAGACAGGCCATGAGGTCCACTCAGCCTTCAATCCAACGGCTGTTTCCTACGGGTAAAGTAGCTGGGATATGAGGCTGACCACTCACCTCCATCTGGTGCTCAGGTCAAGAATGGTGGAGCTATATAACTCCACTCCCCATACATCTTCATGGCAGAGTGCTAATTACTAAGGAACAGAGACAACATGTTCAGCTTTATCAAAAGATATAATAATATGCTTCCCAATAATTTTCCTTCTCAATATGATTGAATAGTTTTAATTTTTCTTTACATAATTTGTCTGCCTATTTTCAATGGCTTTAGGCGTAAGTTGTGTAAATCTGATATGCAAGCTAACCTTGAAGTTGTCCCTTCTGCCTAAGCACATTACCACAGAGGCACAGCAGACAGAAGTGGAGTTAAGTTTCACAATTATTAACCTTGGTATTGAGTGGGAATGGGTGGTGAGCCTCCCTTTCAGGTCAATTTCTAATGACAATAGAGATGTTCCCCTCCTACCACACAAACAGGTTGGATGCACTCCACTCTGATGTGGTGCCCTTGACAGGAACTGAACATCAGACAAGAACTCAAAACTGAATATTTATAAGAACAACTTCTAAGAGTAAGAAAATAACTGGTTTCAATGTTGCCATCAAATTGACACATCAGGTTCTAAAAATAACAAAAAATTACAGCCAACCCTAGAAGACAAACACCGAGACTGAATCAATCCACACCTGATGGCATACTTCTGCATGAGCATATAACACCAACATAGTGTTGGTGCTGGAAACACGACCAACTACTTGATATTTCTATGTGGAATTTTATGATTCTCTGATGACTAACAAACATGAATGGTGATTATATAGGGTAGTTTGATCACAGTGTGACAATGCTTGGACAGAATTCCAATCATGCACTATAAATTACAAAATATATATCAGTTTCTACTGAAATGCCACTACTGTGGATACTGAAGAAAGCAGTAGTTACAAAACATAATAAATAGAAGTAACACTCTTTAGCCAAGTAAGTTCTGAAGTGATATGACTTTCTTTTGTTTAATATACACTGCAGGCAATTTGTGCATTAATATGTTGTGTCAAAAGAAGTGGTCTGTGATGTATTACCATCAACAATCCCATCTTCAGGTAAACCAGGTGAACAAGATGATTTGTTATTAACATCCTTGGTGGCATCACAAACTGATTCAGTTTCCTTTTTATTAAAAGGATGTACAAATGGACGTTTTCTTTTGGGCTTAAGTTCTTCTGGATCCTCCTTAATTTCATCTGGACGAACTTCCCCATTATCCCACCAACCATAGTGAAATTTATTTTTATCCTATCAAAATTAGAAGGAAAGATAGAATGAGAAGGCTTAACATAAATTACTACAAATTTCCAACATAACCTCAACAGCAATTATAACCAATTGTATTTTAAATTGGTGCATAACTCTGACTTAATTTTCAATGATGACTTTTGATCCTCATTTATTTTAATGATGTATACAGTCCCAAGAAAAAGAAACAATTCTGTAATATAAACACACTCAGGTAGATGCCATTTCGTTCGTGGTCAGACTTCCAAAACTGTCGTTAAAAATAAATTGCCTTTTTCGTCAAATAAAAAAAAATTGCTTAAACCAATACTTCAACAATGTCTTTATTGCATTTAATGCCCATATACATAAGACAACTATGTAGTTACTACGTATATGCAATGGCTGCACTATTTTTTTCCAAATACCTCTTAAAACCATGAGTGTATTATGTTCACCCACTCAAATATTTCTTAGGTACCAAACAAAATTCAACATGCAGTCAATTCTTTGGAAGTCAGCTGAGGAGAAAAGTGTGTATTATATTCAGACAAATATGGTACATACAATGTTGGCTGTTTCATTTATACTGTAAGTAATTTATGCCACCTTTAAATGATTTTGTATCATGAAATACAAATCATCAACTGAGGATGTACGGTAATAATGGTAGTGTTAATGCAAAGAAAATAATAAGCCGAAACTGTAAAAAATAATTAAGATATGTATTGTCTGAAAGTGAAGAACAGAAACATACATCATACATGAACACTCTGCAACATATGCAAACTCCATTCTAATTTCACATTGCCACAGTATACAACAGATTATGGTTTATAGGTATGAAATTAGCTGTTTCCTGGACAAAACAACATCAACACAGTCTGATATGGGAAGGTTTCAGTTAACTTCAGCTGTTTCCATAGGTGTACCTACCTCTCTGTCTCTCTGAGCAAATTTCTCAAACATGTTAGCATATATTTTTTTCTCGCGTCCTTTCTGTTCTTTAATTTTCTTGTTACACAGGATAATTTGATTTGCTGCTGCTTTATTGTTTGGGTCCATCTTACAAACAGCTTCAAAATCAACCTTGGCTTTTTCTGGCTCTCCTAAACCAAGATTTGCTTGTCCCCTGAAGACACACACACCACAGAACAATATTAATCATTTCCCACACCAAATCACGAAAAAATCAAAGTACCAGAACACAATGTAAGATTTGAGGTTTTCACGGTGGTGAAGTAGTCTTCTGGGATGTGGCGCCATGTAGATATTGTGTTAACCGACGTTAACATCCCAGAAGACTACTTTCTTCACACCAGAACACAAATTTCTATAGCATGTATGCACAGGATTATTCCAAATTTATTGGTTGAAAAAAGAGATACCATCTTGCATCCATGAACAAACCAAAATACACTAAAATCCCCCGCACAATGGTGTAAAACGCTTGGGATTACTGAGTTTTTGGGCACTGTCCTTCTGAAACATTGCATTCTTTAAAATACCAGATAACAGACAAAGTCCAAAAACTCAGTAACCCTGTGCAAACTCTCCATCATCCAGAGTGTACCTGAACAAGGAGTGCCTGTTGCATAATAAAAACTTTTACAGAAACCCAATAAAAAATCAAATCAATGCATTTTCACTTTAGTTTGGGTGTAGATTCAAAGGCGAGATATTAGGATTGACAGACAAGATTTCATATATATATGCTGTAACACAATTACAAATTCAACTAGCCTCTACTGTAACTGTACCTGTGTAAGGGATGAAACAGGTCACTAGGACAATACATGGCAAACATATGTACTTGTACATGTACCACAAATTTATTTTCAAACTTCACAAAAATGGTTTCTTTCAACTTTTGCCAGTTGGATGAGAATTCTGAATGTACTTATATTCAATGCCGGGAAGAAGTTTGCCTTGGCATTAAAATGTAGTGGGAAGTCTTAACTCTTTGACTGGCGCGAAGGGTATTTAAATCCCACCCCTGTCCTGGCAGGCCCTTTAATCCTTATGTCTCTAAAATGCATGTAGTTACTTTTTCCTAAACAACTTCAACAAAAATTGGTTTTTAAAAACGAAATTTTCAGGAACTAATTAAAATGCAATATTTTATGCAATAAATGCCTTTCCGTAACTCTTTATTAGTTTTTCTTCGTGTGATAAACATTGAAACATGAAAGTTTGCAGAGAGCCACACCACAGCCTGCACACGATACTTGTTTCTTTTCAAATCTTGTGCTTAGCACTCACGCGACACTTTCTCAGGGCATCATTCTTCTTGTTACTGGGAGGAACATGGACCATTTTGTGAATTTTCAGGCCACCCTCTAGACGATTTGCTGGCTCTTTCACTGGTGGTCTTTTCAGGGTCACGGGCGGAGGCGTGACTGCACTCGAGTCTGACACAATAGATTCGTCATCCACTTCATTCCTTGACTCTTCTCCCTCTCCACCCTGTTTGTTTGGTTCAGTCATTTTTCTACACAGTCCAATATAAAATCTTTGAATCTGTAATTACTCTTCTTGTATTTTTCG